AATCTTCATTGATTAAATATCAACACTTCACATGGGCCCATAAATTTTGAAATACATTTTAAAATCAAATTGTTTAGATAGACAAGAGCCCTTAAAAAATATCTTTCCGAGTTCCTGCACATCAGGGGTGGCCCGGTCATTGGTGATCTTGAAAATGCAGCCTCAGTGGACTGGTGGTGATAAATACCTCACTGGAATAAGTGCAAAAGGGAGCAAAAAGGGAAAAATTGGAGACAATGAATATAGATAAGTTTGCAAAAGACTTTTGTTGCAATTAAGAGCAAAGAAATGAGGCAGAAGGGACTTCCCTGGTGGCACAGTGGTTAAGAATCCACCTGCCAATGCAGCGGACACAGGTTTAAGCCCTGGTCCAGGAAGATCCCACATGCCGTGGAGCAACTAAGCCTGTGTGCCACAACTACTGAGCCCATGTGCCACAACTACTGAAGCCCACATGCCTAGAGCCCATGCTCCGCAACAAGATAAGCCACCGCGATGAGAAGCCCGCACACCACAATGAAGAGTAACTCCCACTCGCTGCAATTAGAGAAAGCCTGCACACAGCAAGAAGACCCAACACAGCCAAAAATAAAAATAAATAAATAAAAATTTTAAAAATGTTTTCAAAATAAAAATAAAGTAATGAAGCAGAAGCTGCAGGAGTGTGTAGAGTCAAGAGCGAATTTTTTGTGAAGATGTATGCTGCCCTAACACCATACACAAAAATAAACTCAAAATGGATTAAAGACCTAAATGTAAAGCCAGACACTACAAAACTCTTAGAGGAAAACATAGGCAGAACACTCTATGACATAAATCACAGCAAGACCCTTTCTGACCCACTTCCTAGAGAAATGGAAATAAAAACAAAAGTAAACAAATGGGACCTAATGAAACTTCAAAGCTTTTGCACAGCAAAGGAAACCATAAACAAGACCAAAAGACAACCCTCAGAATGGGAGAAAATATTTGCAAATGAAGCAACTGACAAAGAATTAATCTGCAAAATATACAAACAGCTCATGCAACTCAATATCAAAAATACAAACAATCCAATCCAAAAATGAGCAGAAGACCTAAATAGACATTTCTCCAAAGAAGATATACAGATTGCCAACAAACACATGAAAGGATGCTCAACATCACTAATCATTAGAGAAATGCAAATCAAAACTACAATGAGGTAGCACCTCACCCCAGTCAGAATGGCCATCATCAAAAAATCTACAAACAATAAATGTTGTTGAGGGTGTGGAGCAAAGGGAACACTCTTGAACTGTTGGCGGGAATGTAATCTGATACAGCCACTATGGAGAACAGTTTGGATGTTCCTTAAAAAACTATAAATAGAACTACCATACGACCCAGCAATCCCACTTCTGGGCATATACCCTGAGAAAACCATAATTCGAAAAGAGTCATGTACCACAATGTTCATTGCAGCTCTATTTACAATAGCCAGGAAATGGAAGCAATCTAAGTGTCCATCGACAGATGAACGGATAAAGAAGGTGTGGCACATATATACAATGGAATATTACTCAGCCATAAAATGGAACGAAATTGAGTTATTTGTAGTGAGGTGGATGGACCTAGAGTCTGTCATACAGAGTGAAGTAAGTCAGAAAGTGAAAAACAAATACCGTATGCTGACACATATATATGGAATCTTAAAAAAAAAATGGTTCTGAAGAACCCAGGGGCAGGACAGGAATAAAGACGCAGACCTACTAGAGAATGGACTTGAAGACATGGGGAGGGGGAAGGGTAGTAAGCTGGGAAGAAGTGAGAGAGTGGCATGGACACATATACACTACCAAATGTAAGGTAGATAGCTAGGGGAAGCAGCTGCATAGCACAGGGAGATCAGCTCAGTGCTTTGTGGCCACCTAGAGGGGTGGGATAGGGAGGGTTGGAGGGAGATGCAAGAGGGAGGGGATATGGGGATATATGTATATGTACAGCTGATTCACTTTGTTATACAGCAGCAACTAACACAACAATGTAAAGCAATTATACTCCAATAAAGATGTAAATTAAAAAAAATACTGGACCCACCACTACTCAAAAAGGACAAGTAGATTATAAGGAGTCATGGAAAATTCATTTATGTTATATCAAGCAAGTAGAAGACTAACTAGAACTTCTCCCATTAAGTACAGGCAACATTTTTAAAAATAACAAAAGAGTATGGCTAATGTACAAATATGCTAAAGTAAAATATTAAAAGAATGGAAGGTGGTGTACAAAAGACAGTTGAAGAACCCCATCTGGAAGAAAACATGCTCTGTGAAATAGGAAAATTGCCCACAAGTGCTTCATGTGATTTAAAATTTTAATAAGACTTAAAACAAGAACCTAGATGGCAAATGATGAAAAAACAGAATGAGACTAAATTGCTGTTTATATAGCTATGGAAGCAAATTAAGAGCCGAGATGCCATTATTATAAAACTGATAAGTAAATTAGAAACAAAAGAAAGCAGATAAACACAGGTATAAAATGAATTACTGACATGAAACCAAGGCTTAACGTAACCACAATGAATGAAAAAAGAACAAAATCAAAACAATTACAAGGCAATCAACATGGAGGACAAAGATGATCTAACTTGGGGATAACTAGTATCCCTGAAAAGATATTCAACCATTAAAAACACCATAGGGACTTCCCTGGTGGCGCAGTGGTTAGGACTCCACGCTCCCAATGCAGGGGGCCCGGGTTCTATCCCTGTTCGGGGAACTAGATCCTGCATACATGTTGCAACTAAGGGTTCACATGCTGCAACTAAGACCTGGCACAACCAAATAAATAAAATAAATAAATAAATAAAATTTAAAACCCCCCCAAACCCCACAAAAAACCCTATCATAAAAACAAAAATTATTCCTTAAATGATGAAGTAAATCTGTATACTGAAAAAACACACAATAGTAAAACAAAAATTGATGCATACATATCAAAACCCATGTGTTAATGTATATGTGTATATGCATATATGTACAATAGTATGTAAAATATATATTACATAACATTACATGTAATGTAATACATGTAATGTACTTTCTACATTTTTTCTTCTATAAGGCAAAAAAAAAAAAATCAAGCTCCTCTAACAGGTCTCCCCAGCAACATCCATTCCAGAAGCTAATAAAGGGGTATATACAAAGTTCTAAAAAAAAAAAAAAAAAAAAAGATGTATGCTGATAGGAATGGTTCAGCAGAGGGAGAGAAAGACAGCAAGGGAGCAAAAGCAAGAGAGAGAAAAGAGATGCCAGAGTGATTTCCTTGAGAAGGTAAGAAGGGTTAGGAATCTAATGGACAAACGTGGAGGGGATGGCTTTGGAGAGGAGCAATGACATTTCAGTCCAGTGGCAGGTGGGAAGGCAGAGCACCTGGGTGTAGGTACTGTTAGGTGTATAGGCATAGTGATGAGAGCCGGCGGAAGCTCCATTCTCAGTGCTTCTATTTTCTCTGTGAAATAGCAACCGATATCATCAGCAGAGAGAGCCAAGTGGATTGAGGAGAAGGTGTCAAATAATCATCTGGTGAGTAGGCAAGTGAGCAGAATGTGGTGGGGTTGTTGGTTCCCTTCATTTTCACTTGAGACTGAGGACAAGACTGGTAAGACTTGGTTTTTTTTGTTGTTGGTTTGGTTTTTGTTGTTGACGTTTTCTGTTGTTGTCTCTGTCCACATACAGCTGCATGGGTGTCACTGTAGTATAGGCATAGGATTCGATTTAACCGGGTGTGGTGTGCTGCTATCAGCCTATTGTGTCTTAGCTCCAGGTCCATCTTCATTGCTTGCTGGTGATGTCAGAACGTTTCTCCTCAGCCCGATGATTATGATGTTAGGATGTTATGCTGTATCAGTAGAGAGCACTAGAGGACAAAAAGGGGCATTTCCTGGTCCCAGTGTGTTTTGGGAGCAGGTTTTTGTAGTGCACAGTGGCCACCAGTGTGCAGCACCTCTCCTTAGGCATCTTTCCAAAGCACCCCAGGAAAGTGAATTGCCCATGAGTCTTGCCAGTGGACACTTCAGTGAGTCGTGGCTGGCCCTCTGCAACAAGATCTTGATCTCAGCTCTGCTGGGAGGGGGTGCTCTCGCATGTTCATTCCATCCTTGGGTTTTCTACCCCAGCCCCGGGAACATACATGCAATTCCTCTATTCTTTAGACTTTTCTTTGCCCCTTAATAGTCAATTCCCTGTTAAAGGTAGGAACTTTTATATTAAACTTTCTTGTTCAAATTACTTTCCCTGCTCAAACCCTGTGCGGTTTCTTTCTCTTAATTGGACCCTAACTGATATAGATGAGGTTTTGTCACGAGAAAGAGGGAAGAATTGTTGAAATGATGTCCATAACTTGTTTCTTTTCCCTCCTACATTTAAAAAAAATTAATTAATTAATTTATTTTTGGCTGTGTTGGGTCTTCGTTTACTGTGCAAGAGCTTTCTGTAGCTGCAGCGAGTGGGGGCCACTCTTCATCGCGGTGCGCAGGCCTCTCACTGTCACGGCCTCTTTTGTGGCGGAGCACACGATCCAGATGCGCAGGCTCAGTAGTTGTGGCTCAACGGGCCCAGTTGCTCCGCAGCATGTGGGATCTTCCCAGACCCGGGCTCGAACCCGTATCCCCTGCATTGGCAGGCAGATTCTCAACCACTAGCGCCACCAGGGAAGCCCCCTCCTACATTTTTATTGCTCTACTTTACTGTCTCTTCCAGTAGCACGTAAACTTGTTCAAGTTTCTCCTGTATATATTTCTATTACTGCTGTGTTTACTTTTACAATCAAATTTCTCAAAAGAGGGCTCAACTAGGCAGGATGGCGCGTCAGAGTCATCTGTGACGGCAAGACAGGCCACCAGGCCCCCAGAAGCGCTGCGAGCGGCAAAAAGTCTGGCGCCCCGCCGCGTGAGGGGCGGAGTCACGCGCCCGTAGGGGGCGTGGCTTCCAGCGCGCGCGAGGAGGGGGCCGGCACCGCTTGCGTGCACACAGTCGGCGGCTGCGCGCGCAGCCGGCTCGGGGCGTGGATGGCGGCTGTGGCGACTGGAAACGGGGCTTTCCAGGAGGAGGAGGGCACCGGTGGGGACGCAGCGGCTCCGCAGCCCCATGCCCCGACGAGTGCGCCCGGGGCTCGTCTCTCGAGGCTGCCTCTGGCGCGAGTGAAGGCCTTGGTGAAGGCGGACCCCGACGTGACGCTCGCAGGACAGGAAGCCATCTTCATTCTGGCACGAGCCGCGGTGCGGCCGGGGCACAATGGGGTGGCGGGGGTGCCTGGCGACGGGCGGGGCTCGGGGCCTTTCCGAAGGGCGGGGCTTAGCGAGCCTTTGGTCCAGGTTTGGGGAACGCGGGAAGCCAGAAGAGGATGTGGGGCGGGGTGTGCTGAGCACCGGGAGGTGAGAGAGGTTCTGGGGCCGGATTCTGAGGTGTGAGCATAGGAAGGGAGGACGGAAAAAGCGTCGCGTAAAGTGGTTGTACTGGTTTGCTAACATACCTACCTCTTCTTGAGGGCCTGAACACGACTTTAATTTGCATCTCCAGTCTAACACTGAACTTGTAGGAACCTCAAGTAAATGAGTGTGGTGGATCTACAAGTGAGGGAGGGACGGATGTGTCATGGGCGACTGCAGGAGGGGGAAGGGGACTAGACTTTTATGAAGTCCAGGAGAACCTTCAGCTTCCCTGAGAACCTCTCTTTCACCCCTGTCCGTTCCCCCACCGCCAACAGAAGCACACACAAGAATTGTACTAGAATTCATCCATACAACTCTGCTTGGTTGTTTTGTTTTTTCAATTTTGGTTTATTATAACTTTTATTGTTTTTTAAATTTTTTTTCTGCTTTTCTTCACAGGAACTGTTTGTGGAAACCATTGCAAAAGATGCCTACTGTTGTGCTCAACAGGGGAAGAGGAAAACCCTTCAGAGGAGAGATTTGGGTAGAGTGTCACTTTGGTATCTTGGATCTGGGGGCAGACGAGAGGGCTGGTTGAGGTTTTCCCTTACACTGTTTAAGATGGCATCACTGTAAGATGAGCGGTGCCACAGGTCTCTTCCTACGATGTTTTCTCTTGGGCTGCCACAGTGCCAGAAAACCCTACCTTTTGAAAATCTGCTTTGGGTGGCTGGAGAGGTGCTGGGACAGAGAACCGAAGGAGTCTAGATGTTGCCAAAGCTAACTAGACCCCTTTGTACCTTCTGCCATATGGTACCAGGCTTGACTGTTTTTTATTCACCTAGAAAGTAGAGGTTTGATTTCTGACTCTACTTTTTAGCTGGTAACCCTAGAACATCTGTAAGCTTTCATATATCATAATCTCGCTTTCCCTTCTGTATAGGCAACACTTCTCTGATGACTTTCAGAGCAAAGATGTTCCCCTCAGTGAGCAGTATTTAACCAGGCTTTTCTTATTTTCTTACTCTCAGAGAGACAGCTGATACGTAAGATTTGGTGGTGGAGTAGATATGGATCTCAAGATAGCAAGGGACAAATTTTATAAATGCCCTAATATGCATAAAGCCTCATGCCCTTCACTGTGGGTTGTGCTTTTGTAAGAGGTTGATGCCCAACCGAAGTTAGTCAGGTGTCCCTTTACCTTGTGTTTCAGATAATGCAATAGAAGCTGTGGATGAATTTGCTTTCCTGGAAGGTGAGTTCTCTATCACGGGGTAATCATTTCCACCTGTCTTTCCCATGCTAACGATCTGACTTCAAAACCTTATAAAACCGATGGCCTGGTTCTTCCTTGTTCATGTAGGAATAATTTTCTCCCCATTTCCTATTAAGATAGGAAAAACAAATTCTAATTCAAATTCCCTTGGGTAGTTAGAACTTCTTCCTGAAAACTGCTTAACCATAAAAAAAATGGAAGGGACTATAAAGACCCCAGTGTAGTTAGGTGGATTCAGAAGTTTGATTCTTACTTTGATCTCCATTCTTAGATACAAATCTTACCCCTCATCATAATGCTAGGGATCAGAAATGATTGCCAACATTTAAAGGGTTGCTTCTTGTTCTTTTTTCTTCTTCAGCAGTCTGTGTAAAGTGATTATTTTGCCGCAGTGAGATTCTATTCTGGCCTGTATCTATTTGTTCTTAGGAATTTTAGATTAACTCTTGTATACTAACTAAATCTTGTCATTGAAATAGAAAATATTTGAGATACCGCATTTTAACTAATTTCTCTTAGAGCTCTCTCTCCTACTTAATTCCTAAATCTGATCAGCTTACTATTCCCTACATATATTCTAATTGAAGAGCTTTGCGAAAGCCGTGCACCTTCAGTTCATTCTCACCTTTATCACACCAGGATGTTCTCAACTATCTCCTTGAAGCCTCATTACTTTCAGAAATCTTTTCTTGAATTATTTATTTCACTATTTTTACTCCTTTGTTCTGCATCTGTAATCAACCTAGGCCCCTGGCCCTCTTGATATATTCTTTTAAATGTCTTTTAAGATATATTCCCATGGCTAGCTTTGAGCCTAGATTATTGAGTATTCTCTTAATTTGTAGATCTTTTTAAAATCTCTTTTCTGATTACTCATTTCTCTTAAAAATAACTTGTTAGCTCCCTACCTAAGGCAGACAATTTCTTGTGACTGACATCCTATCAGTTCCTCAATCAAAAATGTTTGGAGCCTAACTCTACCTGTTTTTTTTTTTTTTTTTTTTTTGCGTTACGCGGGCTTCTCACTGTTGTGGCCTCTCCCATTGCGGAGCACAGGCTCCGGATGCGCAGGCTCAGCGGCCATGGCTCACGGGCCTAGCCGCTCCGCGGCATGTGGGATCTTCCCGGACCGGGGCACGAACCCGCGTTCCCTGCATCGGCAGGCGGACTCGCAATCACTGTGCCACCAGGGAAGCCCCTACCTGTTTATTTTTATTTTTAAATATGGAATACTTAATGAATTTGTGTGTCATCCTTGCACAGGGACCATGCTAACCTTCCCTGTATCGTTACAATTTTAGTAAGTGTACTGCTGAAGTGCACTCCTACCTGTTTATTTTTAATTACCATCTTTTCAAAGTGATGAGTGATGTGATCAAATTTCTATTTAAAGACATAAAACTGCCAACCTCTGGTGCCAGGATGATAAATTGGAGGGTGCTAGGAATAGAAGTGGAGAGAACTTAAAGTTTTCCACTTTAGCCTATACCATGCATAGTGCTTGGCTTGGATTTTTAATAAATGGCCATTTAATGAGTGGTGGATGTGTTCATTTTCATCTTTGGATTCAATAATCTGAGTAGTTGAATCCCTCTGCTCTATTCTACATTAGTAGATCTGAATTTTGGTCATTTTAGCCCCCTTGGATTTAGTCAGTATTATATTATTTTGTACCTGGTAAAATAAATGTTCTTATGTCCTTAGATGTGTATGTTCTAAGTGAAATTTTTTTTCTTTTTAATTGAGTCAGTATATATTCCTGTTTAAAAGTGAAATAGTTACCTAACGACTTATAATGAAATGGCCCTCATCCTTTTATTATTTCTGTTTTTAGCTTTTCAGATAGCTTCTTATATTTCTGAATAATATGCTTTGTTGTTGATTTATCAACTGTAGATCTTATGTTTTGACTTCCTGCTATGATAAATGAAGGTTTGGCTAACCTATACTACCCTCTCAGTCCCTTCCCTCCTTTCTGATTTTTTGTAGTTTTATCATTATTTTTAGTTCCTTTGTTACCTTTACAATTTATATAACATACTAAAATACATTTTTTTTTTGTTGGCTCCTCACTTTGTAAGGTATGTGTTCTCTTAGTCCTTCCTTTCCCATTTTTAGCTCACTTGTAGCTCTCACTTTGTGTCAAGGCTGAAAACATACCTCCTTATCATAATTAGCTCTTCCATGCTATATAGGTTGAGTGTAGAAGTTGAAAAACGGTATTGTGAACAGTCTTCCTCTACCCTCTCTGTCCTTTAATCCCTTATATAGGTCCCCTCCCTTCACGTAGCGGTTATTAGTCTCTTGTGTAATCTTCTGGGTATTTTAATGCAAATATGTTTAATGCAAATAAACATTTATTTAATGCAAATAAACATTTAATGCAAATATGTTTATATATATATATATTTAATGCAAATATGTTATATATATTTATGTATATGTATATATATATTCTTTTTTAAGCCTTTCCTAATGAAATGAGTATGGCATAGAATATGTATATCTTTTTTGGATACTGCCAAACATCCTGTATACCTGATTCACATCTCTATCAGCAGTGTATGACAGTTCCCATTGTTCCTCATTCTCACCAACACTTGGTATTATCAGGGTTTGATTTTTGCCAGTCTGGTAGGAACAACATTGATGAGCGTTTTTATCATAAAAGGGTGTAGGATTTTGTTAAATGTTTTTTCTGCGTCTGTTAAGATGGTCATGTGGTTTTTGTCTTTCCTTTTGTTAATGTGGTGTATCACATTGATTGATTTGTGAATATTGAATTATCCTTGCATCCCTGGAATAAATTCTACTTGATCATGTTGTATGATCCTTTTTAAATATATTATTGGATTTGGTTTGCTAGTATTTTGTTGAGGGTGTTTGCATTTATATTCATCAGTGATAATTGGCCTGTAATTTTTTTGTTTGTAGTTTCTTTGTCTGGTTTTGGTATCAAGGTAATGGTGGTCTTACTGTAGAATGAATTTGGGAGTGTTTCATCCTCCAGGTTTTTGGAATAGTTTGAGAAGGATAGGTACTAGCTCTTCTTTATATGTTTGGTAGAATTTCTCTGTGAAGCCATCTGGTCCTGGAGTTTTGTTTGCTGGGTGTTTTTTGATTAATAGTTCAGTTTCACTACTGGTGGTCCAGCTGTTCAGATTATCTATTTCTTTCTCATTCAGTCTTGGAATGTTGTCTGTTTCTAGAAATGTATCCATTTCTTCTAGATTGCCCAATTTGTTGGCATATAACTGTTGGTAGTAGTCTCTTATGATTTTTTTGTATCTCTTATTTTGTTTATTTGGATCCTCATTTTTTCTTGATGAGTTGACTGAAGACTTCAATTTTGTTTATCTTTTCAAAAAACCAGCTCTTGGTTTCATTGATCTTTCTATTGTTTTATGTTTCTCTGTTTCATTTTTTTTCTCTCTGATCTTTATTGTTACCTTTGTTCTGCTGACTTTCGGCTTTGTCCTTTTTCTTCTAATTCTTTTAGGTGGTAGGTTACGTTGTTTGAGATTTTTCTCATTTCTCGAGGTAGGCCTCTGTTGCTCCAAACTTTTCTCTTAGAACTGCTTTTGCTGCATCCCATAGATTTTGGAAAGTTGTGTTTCCATTTTTATTTGTCTTGAGGTAGTTTCTGATTTTCTCTTGGATTTCTTCAGTGACCCATTGGTTTTTTAGTAGCATATGTTTAGTCTCCGCATGTTTGTATTTTCCCCATTTTTCTTCCTGTGATTGATTTCTGGTTTCGCAGCATTGTGGTGGGAAAAAATGCTTGATATAATTTCTGCCCTCTTAAATTTGTTGAGACTTGTTTAGTTAACTGGCGTGTGATCTGTCCTGGAGAACATTATTTGTGCATTTGAAAAGAATGTGTATTCTGTTGTTTTTGGGTGGAATATCCTGTAGGTATCTTTTAAGTTAACTGGTCTAATATGTCATTTATGACCACAGTTTCCTTATTGACTTTGTATCTGGATGATCTGTCCATTGATGTAAGTGGGGTGTCAAAATCCCCTACTACTATTGTATTACTCTCAATTTCTCCCTTTATGTCTGTTACTGTTTGCTTTATGTACTAGGTACTCCTATATTAGATGCATATGTTACTGAATGTTACATCCTATCTTTGTATTGATCCCTTTATCATTATATAATGCCCTTCTTTGTCTTTTGTTATAGACTTTGTTTTAAAGGCTATTTTGTCTGAGAGGACTATTGCTACCCCAGCTTGCTTGTTATTTCCATTTGCATGAAATATCTTTTTCCATCCCCACACTTTCAGTCTGTGTATGTCTGAAGCTTTGAGGTGGGTCTCTTGTAAGCAGCATAATAGATAGGTATTGTTTTTTCATCCACCCTATGCTTATGATTGGAGCATTTAGTCCATTGACATTTAAGGTCATTATTGATAGGTGCATACTTACTGCCATTTTGTTCATTGTTTTCTGGTTTTTATAGTTCTTTCCTGTTCTTCTGCTTTTAGTTTCTTCCCTTGTGCTTTGATGATTCTGTTTAGTGTTATGCTTGTGTTCCTTTCTCTCTAGTTTTTGTTTATCTGTTACAGGATTTTGATTTGTGGTTACCATGGGGTTCATATATGTTGACCTATATATAACTACGTGTTTTAAACTGGTAGTCATTTAAGTTCAAACACATTCTAAAAGATGTACATTTTTTCACTCCATTCCCCTATGTTTTATGGTTTTGATGTCATATTTTACATCTTTATGTTTATTCCTTAACTGTTATTATAGTTATAGTTGATTTTACAATTTTTTATCCTTTTTTTTTTTTTTTTTGTGGCTGTGCGATGTGGCTTGTGGGATCTTAGTTCTCTGACCAGGGGTTAAACCTGGACCCATGGCAGTGAAAGCGCTGAGTGCTAACCACTGGGCCACCAGGGAATTCTCTGGTTTTTGTCTTCTAATCTTCATACTAGCTTATTTCAGAGGTTGATCTACAGCCTTTTA